TCTCAGCCACGTTTGAAGGATCCTAACCAGCCTCCGAGATTTGCTCCGTGAATTGGGGGATTCTCAACAGTCTCCTTTTGACCGGGTCCTGCGCAACCAGCCTGAGCTACTCCTGTTAGCTCCTTGTAAATGAGGTCCGGAGCTCTCCTCCGTGACCTGTTTATAAATGAGGTCCGGAGCTCTCCTCCGTGACCTGTTTTGTTGACGTTCCTTCCTTAGCAAAAACAGCCTCCGGCTTCTTTTTGACTCTTTTCTCAAAAGATTACTTGCCAATGGGCTTACAGTGGCCCATAGTCAACTCTTATCGTTCTAACCCATTAGTCTCAGCTAGCGGGCCATATTTGGGCTCAACAACGTCCAAGTTAGTTGAAAAACAAAAACAAGTACATAATGATCTTTCTTCTGCGTATGTTCATTAACGTTGTACTTCGATCATCTTCTTTTTAAGATCATAAATTCTTTCAGGTTCACATGAACGATGATGAAGAATATATAGAAGCTATTGAAGAAGCAAGTATTTGGTCTTCAGCAAAGTGTCTTCGAAAACTATTTTGTACGATATTACTTTCAAATAGCAATATAACTCCAGAAAATATATGGAATTGAATGCTACTTGGAAAATTCTATCAAAAGATATAAACAATACCTCAGAAGATGTAAGATTGTTTGTATCCGAAACAAAATAATTGGAAAATTATATTCTCAATGCTTATCATATTTCATTGTTTCTTTTCTCTCAGGTTTTACTTACTCAGAAGATCAAACCAAGAGTTTAGCTCATATGTAGATTGAATCAATGATGCGTATTAATGGAAGCTCTTTCATACATAACATATAATTCTCTTTAATTTTGTTGTTTACTAAAGATCATGTTAATGGTTATTTCTGTTTTATTAAGATGTTTACTAAAGATCATGTTAATGGTGATTTTTGTTTTATTAAGATCATGTTACGAGTTGAATGCATTCGATATGGATTGAGAAATTTTACAATACTAATTAAAATATGATACACACGTAAATTTTACATATTTTGTTAAATGTAAATTTCACATAAATCATTGGATATAAATCAAAATAAAAATAGGAATATACAATATGTATATATCTCATTAATAGATATACACAAAAGGAAAAAAAAAACAACTTTCAAAAAGATTTAAATCTCACGAAAATTTGACATTTTGTTATAACAGAAATTTTATAAAGATATGATGCATTGGATATGAATTTACGTTATATGTATAAAATATTTAGTATATTTAACAAAATCTTCATTCATATCCAATGCATCATATCTATATGAAAATAATATGTAAAATTTACGTTATCAAAATTTGTGAAATTTCTATACTGATATTTTCCTTTTGTGTTTATCTATTAATGTGTTTTTTGTTTTTGTTTTTGTTTTTGTGTTTTTATCACAATTTACTTCATGAAAATCAACTTACTAATTTTCGTTCTCATAAAGGATCTCAACGCTGAACAACTGATTTATAGATAGTTATAGAGTTGCAGACATTTAAGTTGAAACAGAGCGAAAGAACTGTACGGAACTCAACAGCGATATCGTCCAATGGCGTATTCAATCGTCGTCGACGTAGATGGTCTCCTGCTTAAACAGTCCTCCGAACACTTTCCTCACCTCTTTCTCTGGTTTCTTCACACGCTCTTCCTTTTGTTTGGACGCAAACGCAGCAGCGGCTGGTGGTTTCACCACTGCTTTCTTGGGTGGCAAGTTTCTCGCCTTCGCCTGTCCTCTGACGGTAGCGACCTGCACTTTTGGCGTTTCTGAAGCGTTCTGAACCGCGGTAGCGATCTGAGAACCGAGCGTGTTCCAGGAGAGTCCTGATCCGATATCTTTGGCCTTGTTAAATAGACCGTCCACCGAGATTCCCACAGCTTCTGCTTTTTGCTGCGCGTCCTCAGCGAGGCTTGCAGCTTCTGCTTCTTTCTCGGAGAGCTTCAGCATTTGCTTCTCGAGCTCTTTGGCTGCTTCCGCAGCCTCTCGGGCTCTCTCTGCTGCGACTTTAGCTTCTTCCTCGGCTCTTGCCCTTGCTATCGCATCTGCGTACACTTTCCTCCTCCCGTCTTCAGGGATCACACTACATATCATAGAAAATATTTCATCAAAGAAATTGACACAAATGTTAGTTTAAGCTATAATAATAAACTCTCCACAGAGGACGAATTTAAACCAATTTTTTCTAGTTTTAACATTTCTAACAAACAATAGTCTAATGAGGTAACCAAACAAATTATTACACTATTAAGTGCATAGAAAAGAAATTGACTAGTAAAGAGGAGTCAATATATAGATATGGAAGTTCAATTAAGTCACGTTGAATATAATATTTTGGGTAAGTTAGAGAATATATATTAAATTTTTATTTCTAACAAACCATGACTCCTGAATAAACACGTAGAATGTAAATAGAAGCTTCTTTTACCTGAAAAGCTCATCCAATGCCCGTGACGGTGCAGATGGATCTGTAGAAACTTCCACTACCTGAAAAACACACACATACATAAATGAGACCCTTCAATTTTGTGAGCACAAATACACACACAAACGTCAATGGCTACACTTTTTGCCCTTGAAGAGTAAGTTGCGTGTGCTAGACGTTACCTTATTTTCTGCCACGGCCGTGTTAGCGAAAATGTCTGCAACCAGCGAGGCAATCTTCAACTTTGATACCTGTTAGCAATCACAACACCAAAGAAGTTGAATAACTCTCATCAATCACAATGATTTTGTTTCAAAGTAATTGTATGATAATTCTCTTTTTAATTTGCATACATTACTTTGTACGCCTCGGATGAACTACTGCCACTTCGGCTATTACTCCCTTCAGCTGAAACGACGACGTTATAAGAATTCTCCGGGGAGAAATCCTCCGTCAAGCTCGTCTTTATGAGCGTGTACGCCACGTCAGTTTGAGCCACTTTCTCGATGAACTCAGAGATACTCAACGGCTGAGATTGAGCGAACAAGTTGTTGAAGAACGAAGTTATCCCGTCGAGTACGTTGTATGTTGATCCGCTGATGCTCCCGTCGTAAACGATCGCCACGTGGCTTACGCCTGCTAGCTCAGCCGCTTGGACAAGGACCAGCGCGTCTGAGGTCGAGACTGGGGCGTCTGGACCGTTCTCTGTCGCCCCGATGGTAACCACAACTTTGGTCGCGTTTCCAATGGCTTTTGCGATTGATTCCGCGTCTTGGAATGGCGATTGCACCGCGTTTAGCCTCTTTATCTCATCCTTTGATAGAATCTGTTTAACCAAAACGCTAAACGCGACAAGTTAGCATCGCATGTTATTATTGTGTATTATTTATAAACATCATTATAACGTTTTAAATTCGGACATGTTATTATGAATTCAAGAGGAACATAACAAAATGAAACCGAGACCTTGTAAGTAGCCGCAACACGAGCAAGGTCCTGAGCGGCTCCAAGATCAGGAACACCGGCTCGAACGCTGAATCCTCGTTGCAAGAGCGTTTGAGCTATACGTATACCGGCTTGTCCCGTAGCACCAGCCACAAAAACCGTACCGGGATCTTTTCTTCTGCTGTTACCAAAAGCTAAACCGGTCGAAGGGTTCGACACGACCGGCATCAAAGACTTCATGTCAGGTAACTTACCGAAATCAAACCGGAAAGGGTTCGAATCTGGCGATTTCCCGGTTTGTTTTCCCTCCGAGTCATCATCGCCCTTGGGTTTCCCGAGCTGAAACCCTGTCTGTTTGGCAGCCAACACGGTTAACACCGGTTTTCTCCGGTTAAACTTTGCACCCGGGGTGGTGGTTAACAGGAATGAAGTAGAGCTGGAAGTCATTAGAGGAGGTTGAAGAGCTTTAGGCTTAGTTTGATTGTTCCTCAAGTAAACAAAGTGGATGACGATGTCATAGATTAAGGATGGGAGACCATGGGGGAGTGCGAAAGACTTTCATTGTTTGTGTTTTCCACAGATGCTTCATTATCCTGATAATGGATTTAGGGCCAATGGGATCGTACCACGTCATAAACATATCTTGATGTGGCTTCGTATGAACTTTTTCGCCACAGAATCTCGATCATGGGGGCCCAGTAATCAGATAATATTTCAACTTTGCCACAATATTTTCACGAAATTTCATTTGTATTAAGAAATCAGATAATTCCAATTTTTATTGTTTTCTTTGATGTAAATAAGAAAGGGAAATTTGGTTGAATGACACAAAAATAAATTATATTTAATTTTCTAACCAAAACTAAAGTATAACTATTATTCTTATATTATATATTATTATATTTCATATATTATATTATAAAAATCATCTTCATTTGAACCGCTTAATTATAATTTTGTTATTATTATTTATAAAAATGTATCATGTGTACACAATTTTTTCATCTGATTAAGTCAATATCCTAAATTTCACACTATGATGCATTCGTTGATAGACACCAAAATTTGTCCCCTGTTATAGGTAGTTTGTTCATTTCATCATTCTTTTTAGGTTTTTTTTTTTTGGACAAATTTAGGTTTTAAACCAATTCACTCTATTATTTTGTTAGATTTATTATTGAAGCAGCCAAAAGGCTTCGAGCAGGTGAACATTATAATTGTTGGGCCTAATCAAAGCCCATGTTTCATGATCTTATCAAATCCAGTTTCCTCTAAAAATTAAAAATCTTCCGATTTCTTATGAATTCACCACTATTGAAATTAATTCAAAATCAATTAATTGTTTCAAAAAGAAAAAAAAAGAAAAAAAAACAAATTAATTCAAAATCAATCAATTTCCCGCGTTTTGAAATCCCGAAGATGTTTGTGCTTCAAGTTTCTGTAAGCGATGTCTGGAAAGGGATACTGAAATCGGATAAAATCAGTGACTCTATGCTTTACCTGTCGGAATCAAATCACCAGATCGAATCGCTCGCTCACCATTGTCTCCAGCCGGTAAGTAGTTCGCTATCTGGACACGATTTTTCTCCGTGTTTGCTTACTGAATGTGATTTACAAAATTTTCTTTTCTTTCGCTGGAAAATGAATGATACATTAGTAATCTGTTGAAAGAGAGATCCTAAATTTTTGCCTTTTTGACAGTGAATGATTAAAAAGGCTACACCTTTGAAAGATAGTGTTACAAAGAAGATGAGAAGTAAGTGCTTAGAATAAAGAGAGGTTTATTTATAGCAATACTTATTTGTTGGTTAAATGCGATGAAGAGGAATAAGGTTAGAAGTTATGGAGAGAAAATTGTTGCCAATAATTAGAAGAAAACTCTCAACTTTGATATGATTGTAATACTTTTATGATAATTTTTCATACCATTACAAGGCGTGTCCTGACCATTTTTTTTACAACCAAATTGTTGTTATGAAGTAGTACAATCAACAGATGCAAACCTTTCAATTGATATGATAGACACAGTGACTTACCTGAAAGAGGACAACTTGTGTTGCCAAAGTTTATAGCAAAACTTTGAGACTATGCTGTTAGGCCAGAACTTCGTGGTACGGTGTAGGAATACTGGCCCCAGGAGTGTCTGGAGGCATCTCAGGCAAAACATCATTTCCTTCAAGATAACTCACAACTTCTGCCATGCTAGGCCTATCCTCTGGGTTGTACTGTACACAGAGTAGCCCAAGCTTCAATACCATCTCTATCTCCTTGAAGACATAATCTCCTTCCAATCTAACGTCTCGGGCACCGACCAAGTTCCCTCTCTTCGAACATTGACACACCCAACTGATTAAATTGAACTCCTCAGGCTTCCCTGGATACTCTATGAACATCCTCCCACATGCAAACTCAAGTAACAAAGCCCCAAATGAATACACATCTGCTTTAGTTGTTGGCATTCCTGTAATGATTAGCTCTGGTGCCACATACCCTACACTTCCAAGCATAGGGTTCCTGTTTGTTCCAAATATCGCCAAGCCAAAATCTAGCCGTCCGTTTAGATCCTCATCCAAGAGTACGTTCGCGGCTTTAACATCTCTATGGAGAAAGATATTCTCGTGCAGATAGTGAAGAGCTGAAGCCACTCCTTTGATGATGTGAAACCTTTGAGACCAACTTAGCTTAGGCTTCTCTTCATTAAACAAGAAATCATCCAAGTTTCCATAAGGCATGTAATCATAAACCAAGAGTAGTTCACCTTTTCTCCTGCAGTATCCTAAGAGCTGCACAAGGTTCTTGTGCCTTAACTTCCCAATGCCAACGATCTGGGAGACAAGGTGCTTTGTATCTTGCTCTGCGTCTAATGAAACTCTCTTCACAGCGATATATGCGTTGGAGGAGAGTTTTCCTCTGAAGACTCTCCCGTTTGCCTCTGTGCCGAGCAGCTCGCTTTCTTTGAACCCTTTGGTGGCTTTGTAGAGAGCTTTGTAAGAAAACCTCTGAGGGCTGTAATCTTCTTCCCATTCTTCACGGACTTCTTCGTACTTGTTGTTGGCATACATTGATCTTAAAGCTGCTCCCATTTTTCAGAAGTTTTTTTTTTTGCAGATTCTCAAGAGAGCTTTAACTTTGTTGTCTGAACCAATTTTGTAAATGACATTTTTGTATCTGTTGCAAATTTGTCAAGCAGTCTCCGTTGGTGAACTTTTTTTGTGTTTGTGGGGAAAGAGTTGCATACCACTTTCTTTCAGGGGCCAAGGTCAACTGTTGTACCAGACCGTCCTAGCTTGTTCTTTAATTGTAATTAATCTCTTAAAATGGTATTTAAATTATATACTTGCATTCATAATTTCGAATGAAGATGTTCAATATCAACTAAATTGTTATTTATATTGCACGTTGAACAGATTCATCTGATTGATTACCTGGATGAATTCAATATTAAAATACTTTTTTCTGAACATGAAATATTTTTTATTATTACAGAAGTCAACTACAAGAAAACAAAATCATTTTTTTCAGTAGAAAACTAAGGGTTAATTAAATGAATGAAAAAAATAGACAAAAATGATGTATTAGCATCTTCAAATCTCATAATACAACAAATAGATGCTAACACTGATTTAAGAAAGCCTCTTTGTTCTTTAGTTTGGTTGAAGCACCCTCCCATGGTTTTCTTCCTTAACAACTGCATTTCAACAAATCCATCAATCAGAATACAAAATGTAAGTTCAAATGGTTAAATAAAATTATTATTTTTTTAGTTTAAGACAAGAAGATGAACTAACTTTCATTTGTGTTGGCTAAAAGGGGAGCACTGTTGTTTAATGAGTTTGAGTTTGTGGCACTATTAAATGTTGCAGCCTCAGAAGAAGCTTTGCGAGGGCTGATAGCTTTAGATATCACTCGAGAAAGTTCTCTATCATCTTCACCAGGCGTAAACGTCTGGCTTATGTATTCTTTCATTGACACGCCTTTGTCCCATACCTAATTGCCATTTCAAGATTTAACTAATACATTTATCCAAATGCTCAGACACAGATGGAGAGTAACACATATATAATAATACCTTAGTGTTGAAGCCAGCAGGCTGGTTAGTTCTTGCAGTGTTGATTTCTGAAACATCATTTATCTCTGTTTGTGTTGATTCCGGGAAAGCCATATCTTGAATCTTCTTAGTTATAGCGTGAGTAACGTCAGAGACTTTAGCATAAGCAGGTGCTAGCGTCTCTGTTACGGTTTCTGTTACCGTCTTGCTTGGACTTATAGGTTCTTTGTTTATTAGGTTTTCTGTGTTGGAACCAGTACAATCTTTTTGTTGTTTGGCTGGGAGAACAGACAAGACATTCGTCTCAGTGATCACAGGAGTTTCACGAGGATGCTGTCTTGCAGTTGCCTTTAGCTCTTCAGGTGCCTTCTTTGATTCATACACTAGAAATATCACACAAAGACCATCAAAAATCATTCTTTAAGCAATTTCTTTAAAAAAAATAAAAAATATTGTTTGTCAGTGAAGCATTAATGTTTGATTTTGATTTTTACTTGGGGCTCCAAGATATTCAGGATCTTCTTCTTCTAACTCTCTCTCTTCTCTTATTTTATGGTCTTTAAATTTGTCACGTGGTGAATGTGTTGCATAACCTCCTGCTTCTGCGGATCTACCAAATGGTGGCGACATGGTTGCATGATCACCTTCTTCATCATGTCTCCTCTTGCCGCTGAGACTGTGCTGCAGCTTTTTGGCCTTATCCTTCATTTTGGAGAACAAAGATTTCTTATGGTGGGAATGTTCTCCATGATGCTCATTTTCCTTTCTTGGTGAGCCAGTAGGCGACAACTTTGAAGCTTCACCAGCTGACCAAAAAAGTAAGAAAGACCATTAAACAAAATTAGTAAGCAGCAAATAAAACAATTTCTTGAAGAGACTTACATTGGTGACGCTGGCCAAGTGTTGAGAAGCTAGGGCTTCCTGGTTGATGAACATGAGTTTTTAAGGTTTCGAGCTCAGCGACCGGGTCAAGTTGATGCGACATTTGATAAAAAAAAAATCAAATAGTCTTTGTAGGTTTTCTGTTTTGGAACTTTGATCATCAGATGATAACATAAGATGCATATAAAGAAGAAAGGGTGGTGTGCATGTCCCTGAATCTTGTTTATCCGAGGTTTTTGGAGAGACCATAAGAAAATTGCTTAAGAATAGCCAAGAAACAATAATAATAAGAGACATAGTCTTTGGCTTAGGTATTTGACGTTTTGAGCTAAATAATAGGAGTCTCGGTTCTATAGAGTTTTCTAGAGAAAAAAGTGGAAGCAGAAAATAGAAAGACACTCCCTAAAAGAACTCAAGCAAAGACTCGGAACTTCTAAGACCGAAAATATTGTTTATGTGGAAAGGAAAATAGAACACACGAAATTTAGTTGATATCCAATTTTATATAGCTCCAGTTCAGTCCAAAGCACATATAACTTCAATGAATGTGAATTGAACAGAAAGAGACAAGTAAATATAGTAGAAAGTCGTGGAAGCACGTATCTTAGTGGTAAAAGTTTAAAGGCTTTTAAATCAGATATGGGTTCGATTCAGGGAGAGAGAAACTGGAAAGTCTTTCCTTCTGCGAAACCGGAAAGTTTAAAGGCATTTTTGTTGTTCTTGGGGTTCTGCGAAAAAAATGTCAAGAACCATGCTCTTACAAATTATAGACTCTAGCGAAAATAGAAACAGAGAAGTTTCAGAGTATCACTGAAGTGAAGAGAACCAGGACATTTTCTGCACATAGAACGGCAAACAAAAGAAGTGGTACTGAAAATTGGGGAGGTTAAACTCTTGATCCTCTTTGCCTTCTTTGGTGTCATGTAATTTTTTTTTCTTTAATACAACAATTCCATATTAGGCAAACTACCTTTCATATGTGATTTGAATTACTTTTATTTGGATTTAAAAGAAAGAAAACCAAGTACTTCATAGATTTTGTAAGATGAAGCTAATACATGAGGTGCAGCTTCTCAGCCTGTCTTCAAGTACTTGACGAGCTCATCCAATGCATTGTATGAGGAGCCTCCAGCTCTAACAGAGGCTTTGACCTTCTCTTTTAGAACAAGTGCTCTCTCCCTCATGCATGCACCTTCTTCATCCACGATCAACCTTTTCACAGCTCTCTCGACCTGTCCTCTTTCCACTTCACCTTCAAGCTGTATCCCTACACTCCAGACGCTTTCTATATACATTGCGTTAAACTTCTGCTCACCATGAAAAGGCCTGCAAATCATTGGAACTCCTTCCGCAATGCTCTCGAGCGTTGAGTTCCATCCACAGTGGCTCCAAAAGCCTCCCACAGCAGGATGCGCAAGTACTTCTGTCTGCGGTGCCCATTTCACAATGTATCCTCTTTCTGACACCATCTTACTCAGTTCCTCTGAAAATAACTCTATTCCATCATCACCATTTGGAGTGACCCATAAGAATGGTTGGTTACTATTAGACAACCCCCACGCCATCTCCAAAACTTCCTTGGTTTCCATGTGAGCCATGCTTCCCAGGCTTATGTATATGACTGACCTCGGTTTCTGCTTGTTCAGCCATTCAAGGCAGCTCCTGTCTTGTTTCAATAAACTTGAAGACGCTAAAGCTGTAATGTGAAGAGGGCCTAAGGAGTACACTGGAATTCTGAGTTCTTGTTGAAGCCATGACAGAGACGAGCTCTCTAGACAGCTCGACGTGTTAATGATGAAAGCAGAGGCTGTTCTTTTGTTGACTACTTCCCTACGAAGCTCCAAAAGTGGCTCTAATGGCCCAAGTCCTGAAGGTAGTAGGTGTTTGTATCTTAATGGATACAAGTTTTCCACCACCTTCTCTTTCAACTCTGGATCTGCAAAGTAAAAAAGAAACCATGTTTATTGAAAACATTGGTTTACGATAAGCCATTAAGCTATGGTTTAGGGCACCTTCTATGTCGGAGAAGAACCTTTCGGCATTGAGTTTGCTGAAAACGCATCGTGATGCATGGTTTGTAGCACTTGTAGTTGTGAAGATGACACTAGGAATATTAAATTCTCTAGCTGCAGCTTCACATGAGTACATGGACTCGTCATAGATAATACATGAAATATCATTACCATGTTGCAGTAACAACTGAGCTATACAATTCTTGAAGCTTGCCTCGTTGGTTTTGTTGTGCTTGATAGCAAACTCTACCATCCCAAGTCTCTTCAATTCAGATTCTGGTAAGCTTTCTGGTATGGTGACAAATTGAAACCCAGGGAAGCCTTGTGGAGGGCTTACACAATTGAACTGTCCCTGAGCAACTGTAATTGAGAAGCCTTTCGAGCTAAGGGCCTGACCAAGTTGCATAAAGGGAGTTACATGTCCTTGTGCTGGAACTGGAACTAACACTATCCTTCTCTTTGCTTGCTTGTTCTCCATTTGCTTAGCCTCTCTGATCTAGATCTGGTCTAAGAAGCAGGGGCTGATGACCTCTTTCTTTCTTTCTCCCTCGTTTCATCCCTCGTTGGACAACTGCTCTAAAATAATTGATCCACTATTAATTATTAAAATCATATTTGTATTAAAATACTCCATAAGTTAACCATCCCAATGATGCCATTATATACAGCTTGTTAAGTGTTACTCTCATGTGGCATAACTACTTTGCCTTAATAGAATAATAACAAAAGGAAGACAATAACATTAATCCAAGAACAGCCATGTGTGTTATTTTTGTTCGTTTTGTATGTTGCTCATGTGAGAGTTGGTAGATTCTGTTTTGATGATTAAAAAATGTCAAGAGCTCTGACTGTTTTATTTATTTTGTTAAAAAGTAACCTTCCAATGTATTGAAAAAAGATGCAGAATGTTACTGTGGTAGTTGGAGTTTGTGGAAACAGCAGTCATAAGAGTTGTTGGAGTATGTAGACCGTTTACAGTGTCGCTGTGTTCTTCTCTATGCATGATATCCTGGCATCTTATTCATAATATAGCAATTAGGAGTATGTAGGACTCGCATCTGTAGAGTTTTCTAGAGAATAAAATGGAAGCAGAAAATACAAAGACATTCCTGAAAGAACTTTTATGAAGTTGTTTGTGTTTGATCCATCTAAACAAAGGCACATCTATTGTAAAAACCTTTTTTGATTGATATTAATTACATTCTTTAAAAAAAAAAATATATTGCTTGTGTGAGGAAAATAGAACACACGAAATTTCGTTGATATCCAATTTAACATAGCTCCTAAGAATGTGTACCTTTACAAATTGATGATGCGGGTCATACATTGTGTTTATATGCGTCTAACTTGAATATTATAATGTGTACAAAATAGCATTGTATATGGCTCTCTCAAAGGAGTTTCATGATACTAACAGATGTCGAAAACAAAATATCAAAGAACAAACTGCAGGTTGTTCAAAGCAAATGAAACAAGTAATGTTATTCTACCCAAGATATAACCACATTGTTCAATTAGTATTCCATCTTTTTAAAATCCTCAAATCGTAACGACTGCACAACTCAAGAAGTTAAACGACTTGGTGACCAAAATATCACCAAGTCGTTTTAATGCATTAGTGTTTGATCAAAATATCACCAAGTCTTTTACGGGAGTCTAGGCTCCTCTACTGAATGCATTAGTGTTTGATCAAAAAAAAAAAAAAAACAGATGTCGAAAACAAAATATCAAAGAACAAACTGGAGGTTGTTCAAAGAAAATGAAACAAGTAATGTTATTCTACCCAATATATAACCACATTGTTCAATTAGTATTCTATCTTTTAAAAAATCCTCAAATCGTAACGACTGCACAACTCAAGATGTTAAACGACTTGGTGACCGTAAGAACTTCATTAACCCACTCTAACTTACCCCAAACCACACCTTCATGGCACTTCTCAAATGCGATTTTCGCACACCAAATTCTTCTTTCCGGCTTTGCCTTGTATTCCTCGGACTTGGGGATCCATATAACTAACAGTTTCCCACCATGATCAACCATTTCATGAACGCACCCCCATGCTAAGCTAATCTCTGTATTTCTACCACGCAATACTTCCATATCCGTACCCTTGACCTCTTTCCACTCTCTACTCTGAGAGTCATACCACAAGCAATAACCAGAACTTGTAAAACAAAACATTACATCATCTATCGCACACCAAGCATCTATATGTACGTAAGACGTGTGCGTTTCAACAACTTCCCATGTCCCTTCTTTTGGGTCATACGCAAAGTTCTCCGTTTCAGCAATTAGGTATATCTTTCCTCTAAACACATTGGCTATAAACCAATGGTCCCGAAACTCAGTAGCTCCATGGCTCAGCAACGGACTCCAAGAATGAGTCTTTAAGTCTAATACTTCCATCCAATTATCGTCTTTCCGATAAGCTTCCATCACGTATATTTTCCCATCGATATGAAATGCTGCCGCACCCTCACGGGCCACCAACATGCTTGGACCGTCACGCCACGTGTGACTCCGACAATCAAAGATACGAACAAGTGAAGAAGGAGGCGCCTTGTAGGGTGCACCAATTAAGTAGATGTCTGAACCAACAGAGACCGTTGAATAGTATGGTATGTGTTGAAGATTGGGGCAAGAGGGTACCGAAACCAATGAATAGTCTTCAAGAATCTCATCGTCATTTGTTATGGTTTCATCAGCAGGTCTCATCCAAAGAGTAAACCATTTGGGAAATGGGATTTGTGGCAAGTCCTCTAAGCAAAAATAGAGACATGGTTCGGTGGTTTTGATGTGAGAACGCGTAGTGTAGAGTTTGGGGGAAGAGAGGAGAGAGAGGAATCTCTTGGAGACGAGAGAGAGATTAGGGTAAGTCCACTTGGAGAGACGGGCAAGAATGTTCTCTATGATTTCTTCTGGGAGTGATAAAAACGATAGTGGTTGAGGCTCAGTGTTCGTCTCTGTCTGATTTGGTTTAGCTTCTTTGGGGATCATGGTGGGCAGACGATGGAGTCGAGGCTAGGGGTGGTAGAGGAATAGTTCTAGGTCTAGGGTATTCAGAACCTACAGTTCCTTACGTTTTTATTAGGGCAGTATTATCCCAGGTGCTTAGGGGGATTTTTAGAGGGGGTCCACAAAAAATGAAAAAACGAGCGCTTGTGACTCCACTATAAGCGTCAAGTTTGGCTGATTCTTGGTCTGTTGCGCGGGTCCACGATACGTGTCGGCCTGCGATTAGTCCTTTTTATTCTTTCTTTTAGTCGGAAAAAAGTTAAAAAAAATAAAAAAATCTAAACATCCCTAGTGGGGTGCTGGGATAATAATGGTATTAATAGCAAAATAATACACGTGCCAAATACACCAAATCAACCCATTATTTCAACTAACATTTAATTTAAACTAGATTTTGACCCACGCTTGAAAGTGCGGAAATTTTTTTGATTAAAAATTTATATAATTACGTTTTGTCTTTATTTAAAGTATGTTTTGGTATAAAATCAGTAATCCAAAATTTGTGGTGATGATTACTTTTCATTAGTTTTTAGTTTCAGTTTTTTTAGATTTGGTTTTAGATTTTGGTTTTGGTTTTTCATTTTTAAGTTTCTAGTTTTGATTTTCAGCTTTTGGTTTGGGTTTTTAGCTTTTAGATCCGCTGAGTTAGTTTGAACTCATAATTACCAACAAACAAATCCCAAAAAATCGAACATCTAATTTAAAACTGAAAAGATGAGAATTTTTATTTTTAAAAAATGCAATAGTTTATTTTGTGTAAAAAAATAAAACAAAAGTAAAAATATAACATGCGTTTTCAGCTTTTGGTTTTGGATTTTAATTTTTAGATTTGGTTTTTAGTTTTGCTTTACATTTATTTTTTTAAATCAGTAAATTATTTTAAAAAAATAATAAACTATTATAAAAGTTACCATTGAAATTTATCAAGACAAAGTGATTTTTATTTAAAATTAAAAATATTAACATATTTTAAAGTACATGATTTAAATAAGTGATTAATAATATATAATTTTGTTTTGTTAAAATATTAAATACTTTTGGGCCTTAAAATAGTAATTGATTTTTTGATCCATTAAGGTAGAACATTTACTCAATGTTTTTTTGGAGTTTTTCTTTAATACTAAGTCCAAAACTCAAACTGTATAATTTGTCATAAAACAAAAGTAAGCTCAAAACTCTATTCCATAAATAACTACCAGTTTAATTTAAGTAATGCGGTTCAATCAACTATATGAATTGTATTATTTTTAACACTCTAGAAAGGGTCCAAATTTAAATGATAACTTATATCACTAGATAAAAAGAATGACTCTCTATTAATAGAGTAGAGAGTCATTCTAGTAGATTGATATACATTGATATTTTATAAAATAAAAATCTCTATAAATTAATAAATTTTTCTAGTTTTAATTTTGGTCGGTTCAAAATTTGACACAAATCAATAAAATAAAAAGTTAATAAATTTTTTTAAAATTCTATGTATATGTATGATCTCATTAAAATTATAAATTGATAATTTTTAGGTATATATATTTATATAAGTATATAAGTAAGAATGTATCATTATATTGTTTATATTATTTTTATAATAAAATTATCTTTATATTTTATTTAATATTTAATATCTTTTTGATGAGATTTATTAATATCATATCTCAAACCACATTTAATCATATATATTATATACATAAAATAATATAATAAAATTAATATTAATTAATGTTTATACATTAAAATCAGTTTTTTTCTTATCTTAGAAAAATATATCTTAAAATTAAAAGTATATTTATTTTTTTTTGTAAATTAATATTTTATAAATTAATAAACTTTTAAAGCTTCAATATTATTAATTTATAGAAGTTCTACTGTATAAAATAAAGAAAACAAAGAAATAATTGCAACACACCTAAACCAAGTAAGAAATCTTTTATTTTTAACAACATAATTTTATTACTTAAACCGTACATGGATATCAGAGTAAGTCAATTAACCAAATAAGAAATATATCAAAGAAAATATAAAATAGATATCATCCTATTAACCAAATAGGAGAAATATGAAAAGAAAATATAAAATAGATACCATCCTATTAACCAAATTGGAAGGATATAAAATAGATATCATCATACAACACTTTTCTTAATATAATATCACAAGCTTGGTTCCTCTCCCTATTCACATGCCCAATCGTATGCTACGGAGGCATACTCATCAAGTGACGTATATCAAATAACAAATTGCCAATATCCATACTCCAATTCTTGTTATTAATAATCCTTGTTAGCTCCTAATCAGAAATCGATGTGATCTACATATAATTGTTTCCATATAGAAGAGTTATTGTTTTAATACTAGATTATGATGCCTGCAGTATTTTTATTTTTATTTATAATTTATGTTTTTAATTATATATATTATGATTTGATAATATAACTTTGGTCTAAAATGTTGTTATTTTGATTATAATTGGATTATTTACATGTATGTTAAACGATGCATAATTAGGTAAATATCAATCAGTCACTGACGTTATCATATTATATAGTAAAATAATTGGTATACATTAATTATTTTAGTTCATGAAAAGAAAATCAAAAGAATTTGAATTACGTATATATCTTTAACATTAATAGCTTGTCCAACAATGTCATACAATTAAGAAAATTAGAGTTTTATAATAATAGAGTGGTGTTTAGATTTGATTTAGAATTACTTGGGTTTCAATTTTTTGAAGTTAAAAATTACAATTTCACTCGGATATTTATAAATTTTAGTATCGTTTCGGTTTGAATCTTTGTGGAATCAATTCGAATTTGGATAACTCCAATGGCGGATGCATGAACATAAGTAGTTAGGGGCACATGATTTTTCCCATTACAGTTAATTTTAGAGTTGAAGGCACTTCATCAGCTTTATAACAATCACTTAAGGAAAACTGAAAATCAGCCGAGAGCACATTCCCCCATAAGCTTGCCTTTGCATCGGCCTTGGATAATCCGTTTAGTTTTTTTTTTTGTTAAATTCATATATATATATATATATATATATTAAATTTCTTGTGATCTAAAAATAAAAAAGATAACATATAAATTTAAATAATGTATGAAAAATTAATTAAATATTTTTGATGTTTTGAATATTGTTTAGCAATTTTATTAACTATTTATATATATTTTTAATATTTTGCAAAATTTCAAATTTTTATATATTGTGGTTATTAAATCTCAAGAATAATTAATACATTCAAATAGTTTGGATATTTTCTAATATCCAAAATATCTCGGTTTGAATCGAGCTTGGTTCTAATTCTTTAAATACTAAGCTTTTAAATTCATTCGGGTTGTCTAACCAGTTTCGTTTCGGATTTGGCAATACCTTTTCAAATGTTATGTTCAGTTTTTGGATTCATGTGTTTTACCCAGCCCTACATAATATGCATAACACAAACCGAATAATAACACCCCACATTTACCTTCACTGTCCAACTCTAAACACACACGAGTGAAACGCCTCACACACGCACAAAACTTGTCTCTCAGCCGTTTTTCATCTTCTCAGTGAAAATGCGTGCCGTTTTCCACCTAACAAAAACTCGACGATGTTTTTCCCTAATTACCAAAACCGAAACGACGTCTAACATAAACCAGTACAAAACCTAACCTCGGCGGCATCTCCTCTCTAAAACCTTATCTCTGCTCACTCCCCCTCTCTCTCTCTCCTCACCATGGCCGCTTTCTCCGTCAACGGCCAGCTTATCCCAACGTCATCAAGCTCCACTTCCATCTCTCCTCACCGAAAACCCCTACCTCCCCACTCTCCTCGCCTCCCCCCTATCTCCTCCTCCTCTCGCCTCCCATCCATAAAATGCAGCAGTACCCGTAAAGATACAGAAACCTCTCTCATAAACCTAGCGAAGCCTCTCGCAGTAGCCTCCATCTCCTCCGCAGCGGCCTCCTTCTTCCTATTCCGGATCTCTAATCTCCCCTCCTTCCTAACCAACCTCGGAGGCGGAGGAGGAGGCGGTGGAGGAAATTCCGGCGGATTCGGTGGAGGCGGAGGCGGAGACGACGGCGGATTTTGGGGGAATTTATTATCTCCAGCGATTGCGATCGCCGACGAGGAACAATCACAATCATCACCGGATTGGGACTCTCACGGTTTACCAGGCAACATAGTTGTCCAATTAAACAAATTAAGCGGTTTCAAAAAATACAAAGTCTCCGACGTCATTTTCTTCGATAAGAGAACACAATCCACAATCGGAACCGACGACTCCTTCTTCGAGATGGTAACAATCCGTCCGGGAGGAGTCTACACGAAATCTCAGCTCCAAAATGAGCTCGAAACCCTAGCTACCTGCGGGATGTTCGAGAAAGTCGAACTAGAAGGGAAGACGAAACCGGACGGGACAATGGGAGTCACCATCTCATTCGTGGAGACCACGTGGCAATCCGCGGATAAGTTCAGGTGTATCAACGTGGGCCTTATGGCCCAGTCCAAGCCCGTAGAGATGGATGCCGACATGACCGATAAAGAGAGGTTGGAGTTACACAGGAGCATGGATAAGGATTACAAGAGGAGGATGGATAGGGCCAGGCCGTGTTTGTTGCCCGGGGCTGTGTATGGGGAGGTGATGCAAATGTTGAGGGATCAAGGGAAACTTAGTGCGAGGCTGTTGCAGAAGATTAGGGACCGTGTTCAGAAATGGTATTTGGATGAAGGGTATGCGTGTGCTCAGGTTGTGAATTTCGGGAATTTGAATACTAAGGAGGTTGTTTGTGAGGTTGTGGAAGGGGATATTACTCAGGTTGTTGTTCAGTTTCAAGATAAGCTGGGGAATGTTATTGAAGGGAATACTAATGCTGCTGTGGTGCGTAGGGAGTTGCCTAAGCAGGTATATGTGTTGTGATTTGATTTATTGTTTGTTTTATGTTATTTTAGTGTTGGTGTGATAGTTTGATGTTTTTTTTTGTTGATAGCTTCGGCAAGGGTATGTTTTCAACATTGAAGCTGCGAGGGAAGCGCTGAGGACTATTACCTCGTTGGGGCTGATCTCTCATATTGAAGTGAATCCGCGAGCAGATGAGAAGAACGAAGGGGGAGTTGTCGTTGAGATTAAATTGAAAGAGTGTGAGCAGAAGTCAGCTGAAGTTAGTACTGAATGGAGTATTGTTCCTGGACGTGGAGGAGCTCCCACGCTGGTATGAATCCCTTAGTACAGATTTGATTTCTTTTTCTATTGAAATTTGAATTGATTTTGCTTATTGTTGTGTATATGGATCAGGCTTCAGTTCAGCCAGGTGGGTCTGTGACTTTCGAACATCGAAACATTCAGGGTCTTAACAGGTCTCTCATGGGTTCAGTCACCACTAGCAACTTCTTGAATCCTCAGGTACGTTTTTGGTCAGCTTACATATTTGATAGCTAAGTTTTTTTACTTGACACTATCCCATCTCCATGCAGGACGATCTTTCGTTTAAGCTTGACTATGTACATCCATATCTGGACGGTGTTTACAATCCTCGTAACCGTACATTCAAAACGAGCTGCTTCAACAGCCGCAAACTTAGCCCAGTGTTCACTGGAGGACCAGGTGTGGAGGAAGTGCCACCAATTTGGGTTGACCGAGCTGGTCTGAAAGCTAACATAACTGAGGTAAGCTTGTCAATATACTCAGTGGCTTTGTTCTGTCCATCAAACACTTAAAATCAAATTTTCATGCAGAACTTCTCCCGTCAGAGCAAGTTTACATATGGGCTTGTGATGGAGGAGATAACAACTCGAGATGAAAGCAGTCACATCGCTGCAAATGGGCAGAGACTACTACCTAGTGGTGGAATCAGTGCTGATGGACCTCCAACGACTCTCAGTGGTACTGGTATTGACAGAATGGCCTTTCTACAAGCCAACATCACCCGTGACAACACCAAGTTTGTCAACGGGGCTGTTGTTGGTGAGAGGAACGTCTTTCAGGTTTGTTTTTACACAATGAAATTGTAATTATAAGTCAATCTGTATATTCTGTAAGCTTTATACTCTGTTATTATCTAATGGCAGGTGGATCAAGGATTGGGTATTGGAAGCAAATTCCCCTTATTCAACCGTCACCAATTGACCTTGACAAGATTCATTCAGCTGCAGCAGGTGGAAGAAGGTGATGGGAAGCCACCGCCACCGGTTCTAGTCCTTCATGGACATTATGGTGGCTGTGTTGGTGATCTTCCAAGCTATGACGCCTTTATTCTCGGAGGTCCATACTCTGTGCGTGGCTACAACATGGGGGAGCTCGGTGCGGCGAGAAACATCCTCGAGGTAAAACAAAACAGAAAAAACACACTCGGAAACAAAAACATTAGTCTGACTTTTTTGTTTGTTTGTTGGGATTTGCAGCTTGGAGCTGAGATTAGAGTACCTGTGAAGAACACACATGTGTATGCATTTGCTGAGCATGGGAACGATTTGGGAAGCTCCAAGGACGTGAAAGGGAACCCAACAGCAGTGTATAGGAGAATGGGACAAGGTTCATCGTACGGTGTAGGAGTGAAGTTGGGTTTGGTAAGAGCTGAGTATGCTGTAGATCACAACAATGGAACTGGTGCTCTCTTCTTCCGTTATGGAGAGAGGTATTAAGGTGTAATGAGAAGTAAGGTTTAGACTTTCTGCATTTTTTTTCTCCTTTTTTTGGATCTTTTAATCCTTTTTCTTTTCTTTCTCATAATTGCTTAATGTTAATGTTAAGTGTTTGAGTCAAGTGTTGAGAATCGGGAAAGAGTTTCTTCTTTGAGATTTGTGTTAAGTTGAACCCCTAAAAATTTTCTATTATTTTATAAATATAACAAAAATTCTGAGCCAAAAGTTGAGACGGATTTGAGACAACAGTTTTCTAATTGTCAAACTCTGGGATTAAATACGACATTTCAAAACATATAGTACTTCAACATATATTGCAAAACTGAAACTTCCACGAAAAAATCGCATGAAAGTTCCCATATGAGAATTTATGTTGTCTCACGATGTCTACTTCTGACAGGGCATAATGCCTCTAAAATATTAAAAGGGATTAATTTTGATCAAGTGCTAAAAACAAATATCCACAAAGTCAAGTGTCACAAGGAATCAAACATATTATCAATCTTGTTCATATTTTCCTTGGATTCAACTCCATCTTCTTGAGATGGTTGATGCCATTTAAAGGTTTTGTGGTGGGAAAGATGGGTAACTATCTCATCGAAGAAGCGTCCATTTTGATAGAATAAAAGACGATACTAGAGAAACTATCTCAAATGGTTATGGTGGTTTTATCTTTGAACTGTATGTATGTGTGTTTATATGTATGAGAACTGCGGTTTATCGCAAAAGGTTATAGTTGTTACACCAGTCGCCAAGACCATTCAACAACTCTTACAATTGCGGTTACACAAACTCAACCACTACAGTATTTTCAACACATTGGAAGGTTGTTTCTCTAAAAAAAACAATCAGAGCTATAGATATTTTTTTATCAGCAAAACAAAACCTGCCAACTCTCCAAAAAAAAAAAAAAAAAAAAAACCTGCCAACTCTTACAACATTAGCAAATAAGAAAACGAA